GACTTGTGAAAGGAGCACTATTTTAGCGCTCCTTTCAGAGGCGGCGAAAGTGTGCCGCTGGATCGAGGCATGGGGTTGCCTCGATCCAGCGGCACACCTTCCCACTGTGGCTCAGAGCCGCCAGTCTGCTTCCCCCCTAAGTTTAACATATTTTAAAAACTAGAACAAAATTATAAAAATACAACCTTTACTATAATTATACTCCCCAATAATTTCTTTCAAGTTGGGTAACATAAATAAAAAGCTACAAATCCAAAAACGATTAAACAACCCTGCTTCTTAATAATAACATTAATTATAAGAAACTCAACAGCTTTAACTTCATCTATCGTCTTTCCATATATTCTTGTAGAGGTTTCCAAATCCTATTGTTCCTCTCTCAATTTTGTCCTTTTAATAAACTCGTAAGTTCATCCATCTGCTGTACTTCACACAGTTTCTTTAACCAACAATCTATTGTTGGCAATTCTACTGATTTCCAAAAACTTGCCAAAACAATTCTGGCACATGTAGTCATATAAAATAGTAATTTCCCGTGGGTCTTCTCTATATCCGGCTTATCTCACATACTCAATAAGTATAATTTGGGGTTGAAATCAATATGCCAATTTAGGATAGCTTCAATAACACTGAGAATTTTTTCCAGTATTTCATTACTTTTTTACATCTCCACCAAATATACATATATAAACCAATTTCTTTCTTGCATCTCCAACATTTATCAGAGGTACCTTTAAAGATTTTTCCTAGCCTTGCTGGAGTGAGATGCCATCTAAATTGCATCTTGATGTGGTTTTCTCTTAGATTGTAACAAGCTGTGTATTTTATCAGACCAAATTTTTTCCCATTGATCGAGAGAGATATTACAATTAAGGTCTTGGGCCTACTTGATCATAGGTTCCATTATTAAATCTTCTTCCATTTCAAAGTCCATCAACAATTCATAGAACATTCTGATTTTATGGCTGTTATCATCAAATACAATTTAACTAATGTGTTATATGTTCCCCTAATACCTATTGTCCTCTGGTCACAAAGATACCTAGTCCTCAATTGCCTATATAAAATCCAACCACATGAGAAACCTTCCACAATTAATTGTTGGTGATCTTTAAATTTCCTAATTTGATTTATTGTATTCCTCTCTAGAAGATCGTCGTACATGACCCATTTCTTATCCTTGAGGACCTCTCTCTGATGGAAAGCTTCATGTATTGATGTCCAACTTGGAAGCTCGGGACAAATTCTCACCTTATACTTAAGCCATATATTTAATAAAGATTTTCAAATAAAATGGTTACCAAAGACATAATGGATTTTGTGTTTTTCATAAAAAAAGGTAGCCATGCCACCCAAATCTAAGTCCTTGACCTTCCAACGCAAGTATATCTTCATTATTCAGTAAGAACCAGTTTAATATCCACTCTAAGCAACATGCGGCATAATAGATTTGCAAGTTGGGAAGCGCCATGCCCTCCCCCCCCAAAGTTTTATTTTGCATTAATTTATACCTCACCCTAGGTCTTTTCCCACTCCAAATGAATCTGGACAATTGTTTATGCCATAACTTAAATGGTTTAAAGTTAGTAATAATAGGGAGATTCTGAAAAAGGAACATAAATTTTGGCAAAATTTTCATTTTAATAACTGATATTCTCCCCAGCCAAGACAGTTGCAATTGATCCCAAATTTTTAACTCTTTAGTCATCTCTGATACTATTTTCTCATAATTGTTTTTAAAAAGATTCACATTTTTATTAGTCAGAGTGATCCCTAGATATTTCACCATCTTACTTAGCTGAAAACCTGTAGCTCTTTTAAGTTCTGCTTCTTCTTCCATAGATAAGTTCATTGCAAGTATAGCTGTTTTACTTTTGTTAATCTTAAGACCTGAGACCTTGCCAAATTCATTTAGGATTGTTAATAGATGTTCAATGCTTCCATCTGGATCAGCTGTGCAAATAAGAAGGTCATCCGCATAAGCACGTATTTTGAAGACCTTCCCTTTGCATTTAATCCCTACGATTTTTTCTTCTTCTCTTATTTTTTTATTGAGTGTTTCAATCACCATAAGAAACAACAAGGGTGATAAGGGACACCCTTGTCTTGTGCTGCTGCAGATCTCAATATTATTGGTTCTTTCCCCATTAATTAGAACTCGAGCTTCCTGTTTATCATAAATGGCTCTAATCCAATTAATAAACTTACTACCAACTTGAGCTTTTTCTAGAACCTGGAAAAAGAAAAGGCCATTCCACTCTGTCAAAAGCCTTTTCAAAATCAGCAAAGGTCATCACCATTTTTTATTAATATTTTTTTCATGCATTTCCACCAGATTAAGAGCTATTCTTAAGTTGTCTTTAATTTTCCTCTGTGGCAAAAACCCACATTGGTCTTTATGAATCCACTCCTGCAAAATCTTTTTAAGTCTTTCAGCCAAGATGGAGACAAAGATCTTATAGTCGATGTTCAACAATGAAATGGGTCTATAATTCTTGATATCCTGTGGATCCTTATTATCTTTAGGAAGTATCACAATATTTGCTTCAGACCATGTATAGGGAAAATTACCAACATCTAATTTATTCATGACTAATTTATTCATGAGAATTGTTGGAGACTGACCCCCTAAGCAGACGGGCGGCCATGGGCCACCCTGGGAAGGTGCGCCATGGGACCGAGGCATCCCCATGCCTCGATCCAGCAGCGCACCATTGGCGCCCCTGGAAAGGAGCGCTAAAATAGCGCTCCTTTTATATGTCGCTGAAAGTGCACTGCAAAAGGTTGCGACTCACTTTCAGCGGCCCTTCTGCCAGGAGGTCCTCCTCGGAGCACCAGCCATGCGGAGGGCCGGTGGCTGTCTGCTTCTCTCCTAAATGAGAACTTATTAAATAATGATAAAATCTACAATGAGGCTTCCACCTGTTTGCAAAATTATATCAAGGAAAACTGTGGTAAGGGTAACTGTCTGGGAAGCAGCTAAAGCAGTTATGTGTGGTTTTTTTTTTCTGAAGAAAAGTAGCTATCTTAAAAGAGAGAAACTGCAAAAAATGAAAGAATTAACAAATGAAATTGACCAGAGAGAATCACAATTTAAACAACACCCAAACAGTGAAATCTTGAAGAAAGAAATCATGACCCTGCAGCATCAAATGTCTTCTTTGCTGTTAGAAGAAAGGCAAAAAAACCTAAAGTTTATTAAACAAAAAGCATTAGAATGCGAAAATAAACCAGGAAAATGTTTAGCTTTCCAATTAAGGAAAGAACGGGCAAAAAGATAGATAACTAGCCTAATAGACCACGGGGGAAAATGTATGGACCAAGATAATTTGAAAAGAATTGTATATGAATTTTATACAGCACTTTATAAAAAAAGGAGATGAAGTTAGTTGGGAGACAATTTCATTATATCTTGAGAATGTGAAAATAACCGCATTTAACCCACTACAAATAGACTTATTAAATAAGGCTATAACTGTAGAAGAGGTCCTTGAAGCAATTCAGAGAATTAAATCAGGGAAGCATTTCCCTGCGGAGTTTTATAAAAAATTGGCTAACCAAATAGCACCTTTATTGGCTGAAATGTCCTATATTTTGTGGTCCTTTTGCAGTTATGACATCTGGTCACCTTGTCCATTGGTCATATGATTTTTCTGTTAGGACAGCTACTTTAAAGTTTTAGAGCAGGTCTAGCTCTGACATTGGCTCTTAGAATTATAATCCTACATGACTAAGCCAACAGGGCTCTGCCACAATTCTCTTTAGAAATAAAGAGATGTAGAGGGAGGCTCCACTTGCAAAAGATGCCCTCACATTGTGAGAAGCGTGTGCACAGCCAGTTCAAATTTGCCACAGGAACACTAAGGGCACATCTACACTGTAGAAATATTGCAGTTTGACACCACTGAAGCTCCATCCTATGGAACCCTGGGATTTGTAGTTTTACACAGTCTTTAGCCTTCTCTGCCAAAGGGTGCTGGTGCCTCATAAAACTACAGATTCCAGGATTCTGTAGGATGGCAGTACAATAGTTAAAGTGGTGTAAAACTGCATTATTTCTATAGTGCAGATGCACCCTAAGATTTCTGTCACATGGCTCTATAAACACATGTGCATCAAATGATACCTTAATGAGTACTACAGTAAATCTCTGAAGCCTTTAATCTCACTCTTTGGAACAATACACAATCCTGAAACTATTAATTTGTAAAGAATGAAAAGCTTATCTTTTTTTTTAAATTGAAATTGCACTGAGGACTTCATGGAGTATCATCAGAATAAAATTCTGCCTCTCCACATGTGGCTCAGTCTTCTGCCCAAGACTTTGTACTAGGTCTATAGGATACTAAGGATAATATTTTTGACATATTTGGATTTCTATCACACTGTAGGATTCAGAGAAGTTTGAAATTACATGTTAAAAATATATGATGAAATCTGACAGCAAAAACTAAAATAATATCAAAAGTGCCATGCCTATTAGACCAGTACTTTTATTACCAACAATTGAGCACAGGCAAAAGTGCAGTGTTTCAAACTAGGGCACTGCTCACCAGCATACGATCCATGAGCCATCAGGACTGGAAGAATCTCAATTCGATATATTGTGGGAGCAGAATGTCATCATTGCCAAGGTTTTGTTCGTTACATTAGATTAAAACCAGATTGATCATACACCAGTGGTGTTTGGGAAGTTGGTCCTATCTTTCCTATGCAGTATGGGAAGTTATGAGAGCCAGTGTGGCATAGTGGTTTGAGCATTGGACTAGAACTCTAGAGACCAGAGTTTGAATCCTGGCTGGGCCATGTAAATCACCTGGGTGTCCTTGGGCAGGTCACACTCTCTCAGCCTTGGAGGATGGCAATAAAAAACCCCTCTGAAGGAACTTGCCAAGAAAACTCCATGATAAGTTCACCTTAGGGTCACCGTACAACATAGAACAGGGGTAGGCAACCTTTCCCCTGTAAGGGCCGAAGGACTTCAGCTCCCAGAATCCCAGGAGCTATTGGCCAACATGGGGCTATTGGCCAACATGGCTGAGGCTTCTGGGAGCTGGAGTCCCTCAGCCCTTAAAGGGGAAAGGTTGCCTACCCCTGACATAGAAAGTTACAGAGTTGTGGAAACCCATACTGTAGAATTGTTGCATTCTAGGGCACTGGCAGGAACCTCCAAGCATGGTTATGCAACCCCATGTCTCCAAGTGAGGAGACCAATTTCCATCAGATTGGTGTTAGAAGAGGAGAAAAATTGATCTTTTTGTGTGTGAGGTGGCTGTAAAACCAAGGCACAGATTTCTTCCCCACTCCCAACTGGCAACAGGGCTTATTGGCTCAATGAGAAGATGCTTGTTTGTACAGTATATGTGTTGTGTGTGCTTGCTCTGACTGTCTATATATGCTGTACATCATCTTTGTTTAGGAGGTGGTGTAGAAACGTCATGCTCTCTCTCACTCTCTGAAACATAATTCCACACACACTTTTGCAATTGTTACACAAGAGCCAGTTCTCTGTAACATCACAAAGGCCCATCCCAGTGACATCACAAGTGTCTACCTCTTGAGGTACCACAATGGCTTGTGCCCCCATCTCAGATTGGTCCCCGAAATCTCAGGCGAATGGGTGGATTTAGCAATCCTATACTCCCACTGCACCTGGCCATTTCCCTGAAACTAAAAGTAACAGGAGGAGCACTTCCAGTTTTGGAAAACGGCTAGTTGTGGCCATTTAAGCTGAGAGTTATTATGATTAAATAGACCATTTAATGCCTTGAGGCCTGATTTCCCAGTTTTTAGACCTGGGCAGAGTGAATGAAGAGGCTTGAAGGAATCTTGTAAAATGCTCTCCTAGGCCACACAATTTCCATCTTTAGCCTACCCTACAAGAAAAACTGAGAAGGAAAATAAACAAAAGAAAAACCATCTTCCACACTTCATTTTTGGATGAGTTGCCTGGGAGTTTGGTGGAAAGATGATGGCTAGAGTGAGTGAGAGGAATATGTGCCCTAGACCATCCTTTACATAGCAAACTTACTACAGAGTAAACAGGGAAAATCCATTGTCATCCCAAGTGGAAAATCCCTGTCATCCCAAATCACTATCTGATTTATTATTATTATTATTATTATTATTATTATTATTATTATTATAGTATTTATACCCCGCTCTTCAGCCAAAGGCTATCAGAGTGGCTTACAAGTGGATGACCTCAGGCTTACAATTTAAAAAGACAAGACACAAAAGGAGAAGGGGATGGTGGTGGGGAAGGTGAATAGGGGGCTAAGCAGATGGCGTAAAGCGCTGTCTTCAGGACAAGGAAGGGAGGGGCAGCCACACACTGGGTGCCCCCACCCCTTCCAGAAGATGTCGTCGGAGCAGCCGGCCTTCCCGAAGACATTGCTCCGATGATGCCTTTCCGCTGCAGCATCCGCACACGTTGCAGTGGAAAAGCTGCCGAAGGTGTGCCGGCAGCCTTTTGCAGTGCACCTTCGGCGATTTGTGGAAGGAGCGCTATTTTAGCGCTCCTTCCAGGGGTGGCGAAGCTGTGCCGCAGGGCCGAGGTGTGCGGATACCTCGGCCCTGATCCGCAGCTTCCCAGGGCGGCCCCGTGCTGCCCGTCTGCTTCCCCCCTAAGTGTATCAGATCTTCTCTCCCTCAGAATCCTGGACCAAAGCAGATGGACTGGAGGGAGAACCCTTCTTCTTCAGGCTAGGCCCAATAAAATGGCCTGCCTTCTCTCCCTCCGTTTTGCTTTGAGAGACACTTGTGGATCACACTAAAAACTGCTGTAGTTCTGGCTAAATTAATTTTTCACTAAGGAGCTCTGTATTTTCATGCTTTTTTCTCACCTGCCTGTAAGAGTGCACCCTTCCCACCCAAACCCCTTAATTTGCAGACAGTGAGAGACTGAATATCATTGACTGTGTTCACATTCCCTTGATAACGTTGCCTGCCTCTTTTCTTTGGATGCCTGAACTGTATTTCTTAATGGGAAATCAAAATTCTATGTTACAACAAAGCCAGAAATTTGGGGAGTAAAGGAACATTTTATTTGGGGCAGAGTTCTTACTTGGGGGAAAGGCAATGCCCTAATAGTCACTCCTGTTGCTACACTCCTGGTTGTGCATCAAAAGACAGAACACAGGGAAGTTATTGAGACTGAAAGCACAATGAATCTAATCACTCTGGTCACTCACTATGGAGGTAGGGCAGGGAAGGTTTAATGAGAAAAAGCTTACAGTTCACATAAGGGAAGGGATTGTGTTTGGCTCCTAGATCTTCTATGGTTTATCCCTAATCTAGAGCATGTTTCATGGTTTTCTATACACATATGATGCACTTAAAACCTTGTATCTGATATGCACATGCTCCTCTGCACATTGACAATGCACATGCATACCCAAATTGCATGCATGTGGGCTCACACAAATCATTATTTATACTATAAAACCTTTTAAAATATACAGTCAAAGTTTCAAATATAGTCATCACATCGTCTTACATTACAATACTTGCATATGACAACTTCCATATGACAATACTTCCTTTGACAACAAATACTTTGATTTATAATTGTAATTTTTTCTTGAATCTTTTTTTATCTCTGATTTTTAATAGAAACTCTCATTCAAAAAGATGGCTAATCATGCCCATACATCATATCCAATTACGATCTAGTCTCCTTTTTTAACCTAATTTTCTTATCATTCCCACATTGCCATTTTTATTACTATATTCAACAACTGGTGACCATTCCTTATCAACCTTCTCTAATCTTTCTGGTTTAGTAAAGCTGTTAGTCTGTCCATTTCTTTCATTTCTATAAGCTTCAACAACCAATTATCTAATGTTGGTAAGTCTTGATTTTTCCACCTTTGTGCTATTAAAAGTCTAGCTGCCGAGATCATATATAATAGAACTCTCCAGTATTTTTTCTCCAGTATTGGGTCAGTTTTGTTTAACATATTCAATAAGTAAATTTCTGGCCTTAATTCATATATAACCTTGAAGATTTATTGTACTGAATTGTGAATTTTCATCCAGTAAACTTCCATTTTGGAGCATCTCCTCCATATGTGAAACCATGATCCAACATCTCCAACAATTATTTGCACCTGTATTATAAATTTTTGCAATTTTTGATGGAGTTAAGTGCCACCTTTGTTCCATTTTCCAGAATTTTTCCTTTAAGTCTTCGGATTTGGTGAATTTTCCTGTTTTCTTTCTTGCATATTTCCAACTTTCCAAAACAATTGTTTTCCCTATGTCTGTAGACAATTTAATCATATTATCAGAAATCAGTTCTCTTTCTTGTTTTCCATTCATCAACATTTTGTAAAGTTTGGTTGTTCTTTTTCCCCCTGAATTCATTAGAATATCATCAAAATCTTTAGAGTCATCCTCAAAGCCTTCTATTTTGACATCCATCTTGAATCTTTCTTTCAATTGAATATAAAGTAACCAATGTATTTTTGGGTCCAATTGTTTCAGTTCTTCAATAGTTTTAGCTCGAATTTATTTTCTCCAAATTTTTAAAGTATTTTTAATGTATATCTCAGAAATGTTTCAACTGCTGTCCATTTTCTGAAAAAGGCTTCATGAGGGGAGATCCAAAATGTAATTTTTCTATATGTTTTCTTTTTTAATTAATTCCATACATACAGAAGTGCTTTCCTTATCACATGATGCTTAAATTCTTTGTGTTCCACTTCTTTACTGTACCACAAGTACCTGTGCCAACCAAATCGGTTGTTAAAGCCTTCAATATTCAGTATTTTTGTGTTTTTTAATGAGATCCAGTCCAGCAACCAATTAAGTGTGTTTGCTTGATGGTAAAGCTCTAAGTCTGGTACACTTCTACTCCCTTCACTTTTGTTTCTTGTCATTGTTTGCCAACTGACTCTTGATCTCTTTCTCTTCCAAATGAATTCCCTTAAGTCTTTATGCCATTCTTTAAATGGTTT